TTAATTATAAAACTGATACGGACAACTGTGCTCAGGCTTATAGGAATATTATAAACAAATGACACAGGATGTTTGTAAAGCTTTTTTTGTTTTTTTTTATAAATTTTTTTTATAATTTTAATTTTTCTTTTGTATTTTTATTGTTGTTTTTTCTCTTGTTGTCATCATTATTATTGTATTTATTGTATGATTTTTCTTTATAATCCGCTATAAAAATGTGAACATCCTATATTTTGTGTAGTTTTCCCTGAAGATGACTATCGAAGATAGTCGAAATATCGGAAATAAAATATAACGATTTTTAAATATAAATAATAAATTAGTGTCTTTTTATTTATATTAAAATTTGACCAATTAGCCCGGTAACAAATTATTATAATAATAATTTTTGGTCACAAATATAAGTATTTAATATTTATAAAAAAAATTTATGAAATAAAAATTGCAGCATAGTTTCAAAATTAATTTATTTTCCTTCAGTATCTTACCATATTTCATTTAAAGTAGTTAGCAATTATACTAACAATATTTGCCAGTTAATCTCTTGATTAAAAGGAAATGACTAAAGTACCTTTGTGAAGATGAGAACTTTGTACTGAAGAGCACTTTATACTAAAGTATCTTAGAATCACTAAAATATAATATGTACTTAGTAATTAATTGGAGATAGATTAGTATTAAATATACCCTCTATAAATTGCTTATTAAAAATTAACACAATCGAAAAAAAAGCATTTTGAATATATGTATATTATAAATACTAAGAACTATTTTCTTTAGTATTGAGAGTCTTCCATTTAAAGAATAAATATTTAATGTAATAGAAAGCAAAACTATATTGAAGATGAACTTCTTGGTATGAATATATTTACATTGTAGATACTTAAGTGTTTTGAGAAAATGAGTATTATAAGTAGTTTAAAAAATGTTTATTGTATTGAATTTATAAGGAAGTATAGTAAATATGTTAAGTTTTATGTAGTAAATTTAGAATGATGTACAATTGTTGCGCTATACTTAGATTTTACTACTCACTACTAAAGCACGTTTTATGCTTTACAAAAATTATGAATAAGTATGATATTTGTGACATGAAATATATAAAAAATAAATAAGATATTTTATGAAGATCTTTAAAATTACATAAAAAGCATTTTCTTTATAAGTTAAGATATTCATAACATTTTTTTAAACTTAAAAAAAAATAAAAGACTAAGAGGTTATCACTAGACAATAAGTAACCTTTTAATAAGATTTTTACTTTTAGTAATTGACAGAATT